GTTGGTCTGTGTTCTGTCGGAGCTGCCTGCGACGCGCTGATGAGATCCAAAAAAATCGAAATCGCGATCCGCGTCTGGCAGTTTCGACAGAATACAGACCACTTGGAATTATTTTGTATGACAGTTAATGGCACCCTAATTTTAGCTACATTTAGCGCATTTGATTTAAGAAACAGTTTTAGCTAGACATTTATTCGTAAAAATTTCTGATAATCTCATGTGGACTTAGCATTTTGGTCAGCATGCCCAGTGCTTTTTCGATTAAACAATCTGACTACGGTCCCGGTGGATTACTGAAGGCTGAGTTATATTTTCAAGTATAAGTAATGTAGGTATAATAAGTTGTTAACAAACCTTATCCTCATTCCCATATTAGGGCCGCCGGTTGCTGCCATTTCGTGCAAAAATTCTTCTCGAGACCACGTCCTTCGTGATTCAGGTGGTGTGTTGAATCCATCTGAATCATTCATGAGAACGTGTTCGATTGACATGTGTGAAGACGGCACGGTTGGTGTCAAAGGCGCAGAATTGCTCTCGCTGTCTACGTCGTCCGCATAACTGAAAACATAAATTTCATTATTTCTATTTACAAACTAAATCAATTTTACGACTTGCACAATTTTTTTTATGGAATTGATTAAAAGTAACTGAATTGATTTTCTACAAACTAATACATATGTAGTATCTACTCAATTCAATATACCCTCTTTAATATCTTTTGAGAGGGAATATAAAAATAGGAAACNTTTAATTAATCTCTTGTTTCCTTTCGGGAACCTTCTCGAACTGTCCGGAAAAGTTTCTTTTTCTCTGAACTGTTTAATTGCTTTCCCAGAACGCAGGTACGACACACACATTTATAAATACGGCGCACATGAAGAAAGATGCCTGCGGCTAGTCGCTCACACACACGTATGCCCGATCGCATACAAACACGCTCGTGCTCGCTACACTAGGAAGTCAGATAACTTAGGATGCAAGAAGTAGAAAGATATAAATCAGATGATAGTTCAGGGTAGTGCCCCCTTTAACAAAAACAAGTCACTTGTATGCTCGCGAACGGTTAATATAGAAATTCGAAAAAGATTGTTAAAAGTATTATGTCTGGAGCATGGCTATATACGGGTGCAAACATGAACGGCGCGGAGGAAAAGAAAAGATTAGAAGCGTTCAAAATGTGGTATTAAAGGCGAATGATGAGGATACCGTGAACAGAGAAGGTTGGAAATGAGAAGGTATTAAAAATAATAGGAGAACAGAGGACGCTATGGAAAAAGTAGGTCAAATAAGTTGGGACAATACCTTCTCAGGCATGAAAGNATTAGAAGCGTTCAAAATGTGGTATTAAAGGCGAATGATGAGGATCCCGTGAACAGAGAGGGTTAGAAATGAGAAGGTATTAAAAATAATAGGAGAACAGAGGACGCTATGGAAAAAGTAGGTCAAATAAGTTGGGACAATACCTTCTCAGGCATGAAAGGCTATTTAGAGACTTAGTGGAAGTAGAAAAAGGTGTTAAAAAGGGTAGAGGTACCTAGATTAGATTACTATTCACAGATAGTTAACGATGTGGGAGATTTTACTATTAGGAAAATGCGAAGATTAGCTCAGGATGGGAAAGAGCAGAGGTACGTGTCCAACTAGTTTTAAGGATAATAAATATGTTTTTTTTATACTTCTAGCAGATGTTTTGTTTCACCGATGTTTTGATATTGATTAAAGATCATGGGACAGTTTATCTAGTTAAGGGACGTTGAAAGTGGAGACTGGGAATTTTTCTAGGTCGACATCCCTATATACAAGGATATGGCCACGACAATTACACGTTTCGTTTGTGTTGTCTTTTCCTACAGTAACATTATGATTTTAAGTAGTCAAATAAAAGCAATCGTCTCAGAACTAGTCTAACATTAAAACCTACGAACCCGCCACTACTATAGCAACATCTTCTGCTTCTTTGTATAGTTTCTAACTCACTTCATTTAGAATGGACTTCTATATCACTCTCTCTTCATTAGTGTTTACTCTCCTGCTTTTGCAAGATTGTTAAGAGCAGGCTCAGTTTGCCCTAGCCACCAGCCTGAGGTTGCTAATTATTTCGAAATTTCTATCCGTAATTGTAGGTACAGGAGAACTACACTTGACTTAGTAAGTAGTAATACTGAAGTTTAATATGAATATGACAGTTAATGGACCTTGTTGGAGCATACGTAATTCTAAAATGTAGCATCGTACTACAGATGGCGCTCACCACGCCATTTGTAGTATTTTCTAAAACGTGCTGTTAAGACATCAGGTAAAGGTTGGTCTGTGTTCTGTCGGAGCTGCCTACGACGCGCTGATGAGATCCAAAAAGATCGAAATCGCGATCCGCGTCTGGCAGTTTCGACAGAATATAGACCACTTCGAATTATTTTATTCTGTCCTGAGCTAATCGCATTTCCCTTAAACTAGAACAACCCACATGCTTAACCATTTACAAACAGTAATGTAATCTAGGTCTACCTCTACCCCTCCTAACTTCTGCTTCTGCCTCTAATGTGTCTCTGACTAGGCCTTCATACAAGCTATAACTACCTGTTGCTTTTAAGTATCACTCTTGTATCTCTGTAACTCATCCGTACTTTTGTAAGTATATTTAACATTGTCAAAAGCTTTTTTTAAATCTACAAATGTAGACACTTTCCTTTTTCTATCGTTTTCTCTATTGTTACTCGTACAGCTAGAATAAAGCATGAATAAGAATTATTTAAGCAGATGTAACAGTTTTGTGAAATTATATAATAAATCTTTCGATTACATTTTGAAATACTGTCTCTTATCATTTACGCTTATGATTATTTATTTCAGAAGAAGCGATTGATTTTTTTAGTTTAGAATTGGATTACGATAGGTTAGTTTGTTTATTTTAAATAAACGCTAGACACCAAAATTCCACAAAACGTTTAGAAACTTACTAGAAACGCTTTTCGTTGTTAGATATGCTTCCTGTTGGTAACATTCAACTCACCTAGGGTTTTAATGTGTATAAACATTGTAACGGTTGCAACTGTCTCGCAAAAAATCCATTAACAAAAAGTTACATTTACCTTGGTCTATTGCATAAACAATATTTCGAAAAAGACTATGACTGATTTGGGACGTCGATGAGGGAGGGTAGTCATAAACTCCGACAGAATTATTGAGTAATTACTTGACTGTGATTTGATCATAATCGTACCTACATATTGTTTGAATGGTACCATATTTGATCAGATTGTGACCGTTCCTATGTATGAATCAGGCTTTTCCTTCGTATTCACCAGTACATTTTTTAACAATCAGCTATTACTGCTTTTTATCTGTTTAAAAAAAACTTACAATTGTCGATGTTTCGACCATTTTAAATGCATGGCCCTTTGTAAGACAAGACGGTTGGGAGGTATAGTAGATTTCGGATATAACGACGACGAAGGGAATAGTGTAATTTCGTCGTTATATCCGGAAGTCGTTACAGGCAAAGGTAAAGAGGTACAGACACGTAAGTGTAGGTCTCACTATTTTTCAATTTTGAAACGATTTCCGCTTTTTTTTAACAGTAAATGTGCAATTAGGAGTCATATTTATTCAGAAGTTTACTAAACATTTGCTATTCAGAATATCTCTTTGTATCTGGCTAACGTCTATAAAGAAACGGTAAAAGTCACTACACTTACTGACCACCTGTGTGAATGTAAACAAAAGATAAGAAAGCTCTTTGTGTCTTTGGCGTCCGACTCTGGTAGCTATATCTGAATGGGATTACTAGGGATTTTTTACAAATGATTCATTACAAATAGTCACTATACCCGAAGTCGGCTTTACATCCGAAGTCGCCGTAGCCACATGAATGTTGTACTAAAGTATGCTTTAAATTCAAGGGACTTAGATTTAACATCTCTATAGCAAAATGGTCGCTGTAACCAAGGACGTAGTAAATATGAAATAGACCGACTTATGTATCTCAAAACAGAGACTGCTCTGCTTTTTTAATGAAGTTATCAACAAATTCATATTCATGTAATGTATTAAATCTTTCAGACATGTGCATGTGAATTGGACTTCTCTAAAACCAAAATTAGTATATTACTTACAGATGAATCGATCATTAATTTCAACCTTGTCGGACGCTTGTTAATGTATGTTTTTCGTGTGTGTGCCTTGCCTTTCTAACATACGTGTGTTTAATTTGATATTTCAATTTGTATGTTCATCTCCACAGTATATACAATACATATACTTACCATGAGAGGGTTTTTGTTTAACTTTTGTTAATATGTCAATATTTCAATTGTTCACTATTTTGGATTTTGGTTTTATCAGCCATATGTAAATTGCATGCTAATTTTGGTTTTAGAGAAGTCGAATCCACATAAATCATGCACATGTCTGAAAGACTTATTAACACATTAAATACATGTGAATTTTACATTTAAAAACGGACTAGTTTCTGTGTTGAGATACGATATTGTAATGTTCGTGGGTTTAACAAAATTAACTTCGAAGACTGATAACGACAAAAACTATTTATTTACACTAATTATTAAAGAACTTAAAAACACTATTAAATTATTACTAAACTTAGGTTATGAATTATTCGATTTATTTACAGTACTGTTAATATATCACTATTCACTGCGCTATTTATTTCACTGTCAATTTATTTCCCGATTCACTTCTGCAACGGTCAATTTATTTCTTCCTCTTTTCGGCGATCGTCTCTTTCTTTAATTAATCTCTTGTTTCCTTTCGGGAACCTTCTCGAACTGTCCGGAAAAGTTTCTTTTTCTCTGAACTGTTTAATTGCTTTCCCAGAACGCAGGTACGACACACACATTTATAAATACGGCGCACATGAAGAAAGATGCCTGCGGCTAGTCGCTCACACACACGTATGCCCGATCGCATACAAACACGCTCGTGCTCGCTACACTAGGAAGTCAGATAACTTAGGATGCAAGAAGTAGAAAGATATAAATCAGATGATAGTTCAGGGTAGTGCCCCCTTTAACAAAAACAAGTCACTTCTATGCTCGCGAACGGTTAATATAGAAATTCGAAAAAGATTGTTAAAAGTATTATGTCTGGAGCATGGCTATATACGGGTGCAAACGTGAACTGCGCGGAGGAAAAGAAAAGATTAGAAGCGTTCAAAATGTGGTATTAAAGGCGAATGATGAGGATCCCGTGAACAGAGAGGGTTAGAAATGAGAAGGTATTAAAAATAATAGGAGAACAGAGGACGCTATGGAAAAAGTAGGTCAAATAAGTTGGGACAATACCTTCTCAGGCATGAAAGGCTATTTAGAGACTTAGTGGAAGTAGAAAAAGGTGTTAAAAAGGGTAGAGGTACCTAGATTAGATTACTATTCACAGATAGTTAACGATGTGGGAGATTTTACTATTAGGAAAATGCGAAGATTAGCTCAGGATGGGAAAGAGCAGAGATACGTGTCCAACCAGTTTTAAGGATAATAAATATGTTTTTTTTATACTTCTAGCAGATGTTTTGTTTCACCGATGTTCTTGATATTGATTAAAGATCATGGGACAGTTTATCTAGTTAAGGGACGTTGAAAGTGGAGACTGGGAATTTTTCTAGGTCGACATCCCTATATACAAGGATATGGCCACGACAATTACACGTTTCGTTTGTGTTGTCTTTTCCTACAGTAACATTATGATTTTAAGTAGTCAAATAAAAGCATTATTCGATAAAGTTACGTCTGGTCATGTTTCCTTTGATAATTTCTAGAACTTCTACAGACGAGTGTTTTAATTTGATTATTCCTAAATAATTAATCCTAATCACACGGTCACGGTAAAAATACGACACGAATGATCATGTCTCTCTTTTTGTTTATAAGAACATGGTTCTAAAAAGGCGTTCACAGTCTTTTCCATTTATAACAAAGAAGCCGAGAGACGGTTCCATCGCCAGCATATTTATTAATTTTATACGATTCTTCATCTCGCGCGTCCTACCCCAGCTTTGCCGAAAAACATTTTTAAGGGACTTAAAAGGTCGTAGCGGCACATCTCCATCCCCTCCCTCTTCTCCGACCAACGGTCAGCTTACATAAACGATTTACCCCATACCCCTGTATTAAATCACAATATCTTGAGGCTCATTTTCTGATTTATAATATGATCGGCATTGGAAAGGCACTCATCTTTAAGAAAATTTATTTTTCGAGGGTTTATATCGGCCTAGTCCAATTATAGGCAGTTTCAAAGTATCCGCGATTGCAAACTACGTCATAGGGACTACGAACAATTTTCCCTTATCAACACCATGTTGTTTTATCCACTCGAATTTCACATAACCCATATTTTATAATCACAGTTGATATTTACCTTTACTAATAATGAGGAGTCTCTACAATAATTTTTCCCATTAAGTATTTATATACAACGTACTTTTGCGTTAAGTTAGTTAGTTCTGATGTTTATTGGGAAACAATTGATGTAAGAGAAACAGATATGAATAGCAGGTACTTAATTTAGATCAAAAACTGATGTATTTTTCATAATGATGCGTAAAAAGTTCAACCCAGTCTCCTGTAAAACGACCAGAATATTTTTACGTTGCCCGCTGTTATAATTTATCCCACAATGAATATTAATCTTTCTAGGTAAATACCCCTAAGTCATAATTCAATGACTGTATAGTAAATTGCATGTAGTGTCGTGTTATATTCTATTATAGATCATCAGGTGCTCATATGAAGTAGAGATTAATAACATCCAAAATTGTTTTAATAATATACAGGTTACAAGCGTTCGAAATGTTGTGTTACAAACGAATAATGAGGTACCGTGTGGATAGAGAAAGTAAGAAAATAGGTTCGTAGGAGTGCTCTCAGGCATAAAGGGCTAGTTTATAGACATATTGGAAGCAGAAGCATGAGTTAAGAGGGATATTTGAGGATGTGGGATGTTCAAGTTTTAAAGAAATGCGAAGATTAGCTCAGGATAGGAAAGAGTAGAGATGCGTGTCCAATCAGTCTTGGGACTGATAACCTTATGATGTTGAACATCTACTTGAACTATCATGGGTGAATTCCTGAACAGACATATCAATAAGATAGTAAAAAACTTAAAAATAGTTATTGTTTTAGTTACATGAAAATTTTATGTTTTCATTGTTTGTAACCCCCCACCTCCTAGCCTAAGTTTAAATTAGTTAGATATATTTCCTCTAACCTTAAAAATGTCTAATAAGGATGTAGGGTATTTATCACAAGTGGTCGAAATATAACCAATTTGTTTTCACATTAGATAATATACATTTCAAATGTCATTGTTTAAGGATGCAAATAATTAGAAAATCGGTTTTCATTATTCGTTTTGTCAAAATCACAAAATGAACATATGTTAATCAAATCGTTTTAAAACTACTGAAAATTATGAGTCTCTTCTCATNACCTACTGAAGGTGAATTTTTCTACGATCAGCTGGCAATCGTAATTAATTTGCGATTGTGCAGGGCCGGCATCAAAACTGTTATAATTTTATAATTTTTTATTTTGTTTCAAAAGTCAAAAGTGTTATAACATTTTATGTTCCAAATGTCCGTAGGAATCTGTGGTATAAATATTAATTATTATAACTGGGACACCCTATATATACCTCCCAATATAACAATTTAGTAAATACCAACGTTTCGTCACTGTCATTTTTGAGGTAATCATCGCCCACGTTTTCAGTACCTTTCAAAATCTTTTACTTGTCTAGGACCCCTTAGAAATTCTTGATACGACTAAATCTTATTACAGTTCAATTGTATATGTAATATGTATAGATTACTTACTCATCTGAAGCTGCATTAATGTTTATCCTCCTGTTCAGAAGAGATTCTAAAATTTCAGGATGGGAATCCATCATGTGGACGTAGACCTCATCCAGAAGCTCCGCTGAAATAGTGAACAATTTTTCGTTGTAGTCGATCAACGTTCGAACCACGTTGATGACATCAATTCGATCTTCAGGTTTTTCCACGTCTTTAGCTCCTGGTTTGTTACAGTGCAGGATATTAGGTGCAAAGACAGTAGCTAGATTGTTGGAATCCATCTTATTCCCTTGAATGCTTTCACCTGAAAATATAATAAATATATACAAGAATTGTCAATCTCTTTGATTAGATAACAAGTGCTAGTGTTTTTATTTTCAATTAATGCATGCGCAATTTTTTCAAGATTGTAACAATTTGTACGAATCTAAAGTGAAGGTGTGCCGGTACTTTAATTAAAAGCCCTATGGTCATTAAAAAAGTTTTAATCAGGATAAAATGGAGGTATCACAAAAATAGTAAATCCCAATATACTACTGTACACGTCACATTTATGTTTGTGTTTGTTTGTTTGCAATCGCATTTCGATGAATCAATATACAGAGCGTTACTGAAATAAGTTGGATGCATGGAGGGGGTAATAGAGCACTTTAAAACAAGAAAATTAAGTAAATGTTTGGTGGTCCGACAGTGCACCGTTTTCGAGAAAAATGTATTTGAAGAGCCAGTCCGGCCCTGGTAGGATCACGCAGGGAAATACGACTATTTAGCAACATCCGTGCTGTATTTGTTTTGTACTTTTATACTCGTTATACGTTTGTTTGTTAGATTAAGTATGATTGACAATGTTTATCCATACGTGCATCTTAAAAGATATATGTTATTATAAATTTTCATCCCCTATCCATGAAGAGGGTTTCGATTTTCAGCTGCCTGATTAGTTTCAAAGATATGGGAGTTAAAAGACTTTCGCCCCAAACGACTTAACTAAATGAATTTTCCAGAATGTGCGGGAATATCTCGAATGATACAAATTTTAGGTTAGAGAATATTATGGAATCCTCTGGAAGATTCGAAAATGTTCCCGAATAAAAAAAAACTTTTTAAAAGTTAAAGAACGTAGAATATTCAAGAATATTCTGAAATAGTTTCCCCTAGCGAAGCGAGTTTACAATATCTATTGAGGTATACGAGGACGAACTATTTTTTTGTCATGTTAGCGCGGAAAGCTCGTTTTGCGTGCTATGAAATAGGGAAGAAATGGCCTCCTTTCAGCCGTGTTTTAGTTGGGACGAAATGAAATTGGTCTTTTGAGCGCATGCGCTCAATTTTATGGGCATGCGCAGAAATCAGTTGTTCAATGACAATGTCTTTCTAACCTCTAAATCATTTACTCTTATTTCGCCAACTGTCAATTTAATGACGAGCTTTTTGCACAAACATGACAAAAAATAGTATACGTACCTCTGTCTGAAAAGTAGATACTTCAGACTACGTGTTTGCGTCTCACACGTAGTCTGAAATATCCACTTTTCAGACCTCGATACGTAACGTAATATTTCACTTAAATGTATCATGTTTTCTGTGTGAGATTAAGCTTTCCATAAAAGTCTCCCTGCTGATGCTGTTGGTTTTGTCTTATGACGGATTTTTCTTCTTCAACTAATGCATGTTCGCTACTGATAGCTATTTATGATTTTCAATTGCATTTCAGCTTCTGCACAACAATATTAATTAAAGTAAGTGCAACGCACTTTTTGTTTCCTTTACACCGAAACGATCCCCTGTTTGTTTCTGAATGACCGTCTATTTTTCTGCTCTTGAAGTTCAATTTATATTAAGCGCAATTTACGTAAGAGAACAATACTCACCGGAAGGGTCAGTTTGGTCGTTTGAATGTCTAGCTACATCTGCAAGGAAAATTAATAACGCCCAAAGGGTGTCTCTGTTGGGCGTGGGAAGTAGTTGGATAAGGTGTTGGAGTGCTTCGAATTGCAGTCTTCTGTTTCGTATTCCTGAAAAGAATAAGATGTGTCAACAGTTGTGTTGTAACAAGATATTTTTAATAAATTACATCCACAGAAAACATTTATTTTCCTTTTTAAACAGATGAATTAATTAATTGAAGAGCGCAGAGGGGGACTTTTGAGTGGAGAGCTCTATATTAGGCTTTTAAAATTTTGGAACGAAGTGGCGGTTGCCAGGAGCTAACCAGCAGAAATTTTTTTTTTACCGAAATTTCCTTATAATTTTCCGAAGATTCATATGGTGAAAAAGGCGTGCTTAAACGAAAAAGCCGGAAAATTGATATTATAAAACAAATAAAAATGTTTCAAAAAATTTGGGCATGAAGCATTAAAAAATTAAAGCGTATGAAAACCAAGCCGTTTCGGTAGACTATTAAAAGTCACAAGCAGCCATTTTTACATATTAAGGTTACTATTTCAAAGTACAGGCGTGTTAGAGTATTTTGGATACTAAATTTGACTTCAACGCTGAAAAATCCTCCAACAATAAATGTTTATTTATAGTTTTCGAGATTATTACCGAATTATGTAATTAATTAAATGAAAAATGAAAGTTTTGCATACTTTGTGTTTGGACAAACACGTGGTAAAGGTCCCTGCAAAGAAGTGGATCTGGAAGATCTCTCAGGTACTCTTTCAACAACGTTGCTACGTCATGAGGACATTGTTCCTCATCTAGAGTTGTTTCTCGACCACAGTCGAAATCCTCACGTAGCTGAAACAAAAAAATACAACGTGTAATTATACAACACGCTACTGCAGTGAAACTTGTTCAAACACAAACATAGAGGTTAAGGAATTGGTTTAATGGTATTATTTGTACACTATGCTTCGCACGGGTGCAATGCTGATAGTAAATATACTATAGAATGTCTTTATATACAACAATCACAGCTTTTTTGTCATTAAACAATACAAACCGGCCGGTACCGCCGCAACCGCTATGTCCCTGCATTTTAAGTCTGTAATGTCTTCTTTTAAATTGAATTTGAAATTGAA